TTTTAAAATTACCTTTTCATAAAATAACACGCTCCTTTATATGCACATATTAAAATGTATATAATCAAGAATTTTATCTTTTTTATTTATTTTTTTTATTGTATTAATTGGATTTGTTGTTGAACTGGTTGTTAACAACTTTATATTGGAATTGTTTATGTGCTAGTCATTTAAGATTATCAGGCACATTTATGTATGTTTATAAAACAATATTGACTTTGTTAATGATTAGATCTCTTAACTTGCATGTATCTACTACATCCGTCTGTATAATGATTAAGATTTCATGTAGGAACACTTTTATACTTGGAAATGCTATGTACCTAGAAGAAAGGTAAAATAAATTACCTTAGGTCTATCAGTTGTTTTATGGAAAGTAATACAAGGTGTTGATTCAAAGAAGTTGAATGTACACCAAAATAATAATACTTTTATTTAGGGGTCACTGATATGCCTTAAGCATGGAAATGTGTCAGCAAACAATATTGTGCTGCCACTATAACATTGCTTCTATCATGATAAGCCACCCAGGACACAATAGAATCATTAGGAATTGCTCCTATCAGTAAACATTGTTGTATAAATAAACCGATCAAGAAAAATGTTAGAGACTGAAATGTGTATGTGTCTTCTCTCGTACTCTATTTGATGGTGTGTTTTTCGGTGAAGTTCGATGATTATTTCTTAGCGGTATGTATGCTTTGAAAACCTCTCGCTGACGCTCCAGGTGTTTTTGCGTGGCATATATATATATATATATAACCGTTATTATAAGCAGTTGGGCGAAAAAATAAAAGCGATCCAGTTTGCGCCTTCTTTTGAGAAATGTGCGTTGCGATAGCCCAACAGTTCATTGATCCGAATAATCGTAACATTTTTATCAGTTTTTTGATAAAAGGGTTCGTTGGCAGGGGGGGGGGGGGGGTATCCGCGGATGCCCCCCGCACCCTTGACGTGGGAAAATTTAGGGATTTTAGAGGGTAAGCTGTGCCATTTGGTACGGTTTAAGCAATGATTCAGCTAGTCAAAATTCTAATATTAAGAGGGGACCATTGGTGTGATTTTTTTCAGAAATCGAAGGGGAGGTCAGGACTAGTTGATCTGAATGGTTATAGTGAAGATTCAGACCAATGAACCTTCGGCCTATTGCCATGCACCCTTCGGGAGCACAGGCTTCAAACAACTGCGCATGTGCGAAAAGTGCGCTGTTTGAAATAAACAAGTTGGTGACAAAGACCGTCTGGTTGATTTTGTTTCATTAGCTCTCTGGTGTCTTTTTGAAAATTTATATTAGAAATGTTCTATTGATTTTATGTTGTAAAAAGTAAATCCGTCGGAATTCCCTAGAAAAACATTTATTTTACCTTCATTTTAAGGGGATTCCCATTGTATTTATAGTGTTATATGTGGCCCCAATGGGGATTATCACACCTCCCCTACTCTTGATTAATAAAATTCTTCACCTGGAGGATTGTAAATTACATTGCAAAATACATTGAAAATCGTAGGAAGGTTAACTGCAGATAATGCTGCGAGGATATTCTTAACAGTGGGGGAACTCGGCCAATATAAAATTTTTAACTTCGTTTTACGATTTTGGAGCGCCTGTTCTAATTTTTGAAAGCGAGGCAATGGAACCAAACAATGCGATACAATTTGTAATCTCGTAAAAATTGCTATTTTTATATAAAGGTTATAGCATGGAGTACATCGAAATGCGACTTGTTTATTATTATGATCTTAAATAATAATTAATATAAAACAAACGATATAATACGTTCTTAACGTTAGCCTATTTATTAGCTTAATTGATTTTTTTTCGTATTTGGAGATTAAAAACACAAAAGTTGTCTGGTTTCATATCGAGGCACTGCGTTTCGTTCGTGTGCTCCCTTCGGGACAATTATGTTTGAAAACGTGTCGTCACTTCACTTGACTATCACATCGAGCTAGTCACAATGAAGAACTGTGTGTGTGTGTGGGGGGGGGGGGGGGCGGGGGTGGAGGGGGCGTATCACGTGTACAATCTCCCTGGGGCCTTCCAAGGCTGTCTGGGATACTGTGACATGGACTGAGTTGGCTGCAGATCTTCCGCTACCAAAGTGGCGAAGAAGTCATTTGGTAACATGAGATTACTTGGATTACACCAGCGTTACAATGTTTGACGTCGTCTCACGCCTGAAGAATAACGAGTGTTAGCTTGGATTGGACTCATTTTATTCCAGTTCGATGCTTATAATAGCATTATATCAATAAATAGCCTACTACAACGCATTTCAAAATTTCTCATTTTTAAATTTTTTACTTAAAAGTTCAGTTTGGACAAGGAGGTGTATTCAGATTCTGGTGAATAAATTTTTAAAAAAATATTCAGATAGAATCCCTTGATTCATATTTAGAGCACATGTACATTTATTTGGTTAGATATGAACAGGCGTCGCGACAACCGGCGTTTATCTGTGTTTTCTTTCTGCACATCCGCGTTCTAATCAAACCGACGAGCTGCTTCGTTATCAGCTTTAGTTTGATTTCAAAGTCAAATTTAAAAATCCCACATACCCCCACTAAGGAAGTAATTTGAGTGTACATGTGTTTCCTCATAACTCTTTTCATGACAATCTCGTGACAAATCATTATCCCACGCGTCTCTTTCCTTCAAAGAGAATTTACACCAAAATGAAAGTTGCATGATTTCACATATGTGGACTTCAGATTCGACAAAGCATTCGTGCCTCTCGCTCTCTCTCTCTCTCTCCTATGGTTCTGTATTCTGTGTGTGTATTATGTTGTGTTGATAATTTCATGTCGACGATACAGAAGTTCAATATACTAGTAACGTACACGTGCATGTCTTTGACCCTATTTGTTCGTCAATCGTGTGCAAGGAAAAACCGAGATCCACCTTGCTGTTTTTCTGTCCCTCCTTCGACATATTAAGCATCTGATGAGTATCACCGTCAGAATCACTAGTGTCAATACTTTGGAGAGCCGCAGCCGTTCTGAAATAGAAATATTACAACACATTTTCATTCACCAAAATTACCAATAATTTCAACAAAGAATGCTGACTCCTATGTCAAATACTAATTAAATCAAATTGATAGGCCATGTGAACTTTTTGAAAGCACGATTGATAATAGTGGTACCGGTCTGTAATAGACAGTGCCAAAATATCTGTCCCATTGTGGTAAGAGATAAAAAGCATTCAAAGTCATTTAAATGACAGTATTAGATTTTACTGTGTCACTTGATTATGGGACGTATGAGGACATTAACGTTAACATAGTTCACATGTATATGTCTAAAAGTGAAAGATAATAAGGAAGTGCATAGCTGTCAAAAAGTTGCCCCTATTATCAATAAAGCCTTCCAGGCCAGGGGTTTCCAGCCAAAAACCCATATTTAACGTAAACGGTATTTCCCCTCGATTTGTCAACCTTTAACTTTCCTTTTTTGACACTCGCCATAACTCTGGGTGGATTCAGAACAAACTGATCCGCGGATCAAATATGGCTGACTCACTTAAAAGCAATGCTGGCTTATCCCCTTATGGTCTCCCCGCCTTCCATACGTGCCGTGTAATTTTCAAACTTTATCAAGATGGCTTTATGTCCTTATCGGCCTTATGTCCCACACGGGACGAAGAGCAATGATGATGATGATGATCAAGATGGCTGACTACCGAGGTTGAACAGGGGTTATGAATATGATTATTTTTTGCAATACTGATTTTTTTTGCAATACTGATTTAAAAATCTGTCTTTGTCTGTCAATTTACATATTATTTACAAGTTTTAATTGTCCACAGGTAAGTTCAACAAGAAGCGATTCATGCTCTTGAAATGCGTTCAAATCACTTTAAACGTCGCAGTTTTGTTCTTGGAAAAGAATATTACATGTATGAGGTTAACACCAACCTAGAGTTCGATTACTGTTGCTCACATCTTGTTGCTCAGTCCCTGTGTACTTGACTAAACTGTACTTTGGTAGACCATGATGTGACTGCTCTACGTCACCGCTGTCTTCGTTCTGAGTGGCTAACTGTGTTTGGCCGCGGATCATGATCCCAAATCCAGAAAATACCCCACTGATAGCCGGGATTTCCAAAGTGGTTATTCCAAGTCGTTGGCTCACCCAATAAACGTCTCCAGCCAAATGAAGTGAGCTGAATGACAGGATTAATATCTTCGCAAGCCTGGGAATTGTATAATTGATAAATGCAGCTAGGATTATAATTCTCATAATGCGCATAGGGCCTATATGTACCAGTAATTACATTTTATTATTAAATAAGTCACTACTAATGGAAAACAAAACATTTATTAACTGTGATGTATGAGGATTAATGAAAACTTACATCCACAAATCCATAGTGACACATGTATTGTAAGGTGTCGACCTTCACTGCTTTCACAAAATTTTACTGGGATTATTTTCTTCTTCACAGTGTATTTTACTATTGTCCATTTTGGGAAGCTCCATTTTTCTTCAGTTGTCCCTTGTACTGTTACATATGTTCAAGCTCCAGGTCCTTCTATCTTAATTCAAAACTATATAACTTAAACAGTCCGCAGTATATCAGGACACCTCTCAGTACCAAGTCCTTGCTACGGTCATTCACAGGTGACGTCACGCGTCCCCAGGCACTGGACCGTCACAAATGACATTTTACTTGACCAAGGTGATACTCAAACCCAGGAAATAAGTCCAAGAATTATATAGGACACATGTAGTTCCTCGAGCATAATTAACGGCGTTGACAGAGGCTATGAATGTGACTCCGTCCATTGTATCTTTAAAGTAACACGTTCAACTAGGTTATGATACATATTTTATGTGGCCAGGTTATCGCTGACATCTACCAGTTAATTGCCATTGACATTGGACGGGGCAGGGAAGAGGGGCAGGGGATGTGGGCGGAGCTGCGTGCTCTCATTCAGGCATTTCAATTGCTTGTGTCTCTATTTAAATTTTAATGTCATATAAATTTTGAATTGTTGAAAGTATTTAATGCAGAACAACTCCATCTTAACCCTTTTTGTGAATACATAATAAAACAATCCCCTCCTCTCTTTCCCGGTATTCAATAGAGTAATTCTAGGTACGTGTGGGTGGTGTGTCTGTTGGATCATGGACCTTCTAATGATAGTCACCACGAAAATTATACAGAGCCCAAAGCGCCATCCTCTCAAATATATATATATATAAACCATTAAGCCCTCACAACGAGCAAAATTAAGATCATGATCAACAATATTAATTCGAGAGTGCGGTGCAAAATTGAAGTTGACATGCCACCAGATTCAAAGCACGAGATAAGTTCAGACCAAATCTTTTATAAACAAAAATACACGAAAATAGGTCTTGCAAGCGTCATCAAAAAAAAAAAAAAAAAAAAAAATTTAAATTAAAAACAAAACAAAAAAAAAAAAAAAACGATAATGCAAGGAATTATGTAGGATAATTCCATGGATAAAGTTATCTTTTAGATAACGGTCATAAGAGTCAAAATGATAGAGAGGCAAGAGAGTATCTTGGGGCATCTCATAGTTGCTCCCCTTTCCGGTCTGAAGCATGTCTCGTCTGAACAGGATAACTGATTTTTTTCTTTTTGCAATGAATAAGATAGAAAGTTTTTTAGGGATTCAAAGAACTGCAATAACTTACTCTCACCGTAAAATCTCTAATAACGATGGAAGGAATATTTTAATATGAGTACACTTATTTATTCAAAGCAAATGATAGTACTTTCATATTGATTGACAATGATATGAGATAGTAAGAATCCTTACCCCATATACATGTATATACATGTGCATTGTAATATACTGTACACTACATGGTTGTCCAATAGCCCTCCTTCAACTAGAAAAAGGTAGCTTGTGGCAAGAACAGATAATTCGAGTAACAAAAAATCACTAATAGACCGTAGACTCCGCCAAAACAAATAATTAACTAATAATTACCATTACATTGATTAATGGATCATAAACAAAATTTAATCACTTTTCGATAAGCCCTTTTCTGACCTCTCTTTGTTATTTCATCAAAATCCAGCCATAACACTTTGCATAATGCAATCAGACAAACTAAACTAACCAACTAACGGTACCAAAAACATTAGCTTCTTGTCGGAGACAAAATGCAGCTACATATACATGGTTAAAAGCCGTTAACTACAAGCAATACCATTCATTTGGGTGAATATCAGAGCTATTTCTTTATCCAAAACACCGCCTTAGGAGGTGGTTTTAAGCAATTCCATTTAAGTGAATGAAATGCAATTGTTTCATCTCAATAAAGCTAATCTGATCTTTTTCCAAAACACCGTCTTTTGGCGCATCGTGCCATTTTCCGGCCAACACAAACAGGTCGTGTGACGCATCATCGTCTGCATATTATCTGGGATCGTTTTCTTATCTACATCCTCGTGAAGAATGAAAATGATACTGGTTATGCGTTTCTCAAACAGTTTGTTTTGGGCTACCTTAAACTCGTGGTCGCACAGTCTACTTTGAAGAGAGTCGCCGGTGACAACAAACACGACCCTGGTCGTCTGATTCATGTACTCTTCGATATTGTCCACAATAGGATTTCCACAGATAAAATCTCTCTCGTAAATGCAGAGTCTTAACGGCGCACCCATGTCGTCACTCTCTTCTACGTTTTTGAGAAGTTCATCTTTTATCCATTTTGTATTTTTACTACAATACGAGACAAAAGCGGCGTACCTCTCGTCAGGTATTTCAACGTAACCGTTGCGTAGGCGCGCATTCCGTCTCGTTTTTCGAATAACCCAGGCGTATTTTATATCCCAACGAAATATGAAAATCAAATAAGACGTAAGCGTAATGGCAACGACGGATGATGTCAATCCAGCGGTCAGATGTAGTAGGTGATTATCGCATTCAATCCACGCGGGACAAAAATCCACCAACTTGAGCTGCCTTAGATCTGAAGGCAAGTTACAGTGCTCCTGTTTGCCTTTACTGAGCAGCACCCGCGTATTTCGCAACCAATGGACAAACCACCGAATATCGCAGTCACAAGTCCATTTGTTGCCGCTTAAATCCAATTGCCTCAGTGACCCACCTGACGTAGGTAAAATGGCCCATAAAACTCCCTCGCTGATGCTGATTATTTTATTGTTTTCCACGTTAACGTGTGCCAGTTTTTTACATTTGTTAAAGATACCGGCCGGGAGAGTCGTGATCTGATTCACCTGCAAATGTAAGTCTGTCATTTGAACTAAATCGTCAAACATCCCCAGAGGGAGCTCCACCAACCCGTTGCCCGAAAGGCGAAGTTTCCAAATTTGTCCTAGGTTTTTGAACATCTTTTTGAGGATGGCCGGATTTGTTTGACCAAGGCTGTTGTTAGCCAGAGATAAGGTATTCAAACTGGGAACCGCGCTGAATATACTGGCGTTTTTCAAATCACACTTGAGATAAGCATTGTTAAACTCGAAAGTTAGGTTAACTAGGCTTGTCATATTCTTCAGAGTCAAGTCAATAAGATTAAAACCACCTTTCCGGTCAACAACACTATTTAAATGCAAAGTCTTTAGCGAACTAAGGTCGTGGAACATTATTTTCGGAGGGAGACGGTTTTTTGATAGGTTTAAAATCTGAAGTGATGTGCACTTTTTGATGGCAAAATAAGGCTTCTGAATGCCAAGGCCATTGCCACTGATATCTAGGAATTCAAGGTGTTTTAATTTTGGTAAAAGGTCCAAAACAGAAAGGTTTTGGATTTTATTCCCTTTCAAATTAAAGTTTCTCAATCGATTTCTTTTCGAAAACGCCAAGGGAGAAAATTCTTTAATATTGCAATTTGCCATGTCTAAAGTCTGCAGTTTCGTCATATTTCCCAGGGCACCTTCACCAACGCCACCTATACTATTGCCCTGGATGATCAGAACTTCCAGGCCTGTTCTTCCTAACATGTTCATCATCCTTAGGTCCAATCTGTCCGCTTTCCAGCGTATCTTAGACAAACTCAAATTCGTCAGCTGTGTCCCTGCCATACCGAGGCCTTCCGTGAGGTTACTCAGGGCGGGACAACCGGCGCCATCTTTTCCAGCATGCAGTCGCCTACAGAGAGGGTTCTTTGACAAGTCCAGAAGATGTAGACTCTTCATCTTAGAAAAACTATCTCTTGCAATCACGCTGATATTGTTTGAATTTAAATGTAATGTTAACGCCGTTGTTTCTTCATAGCCTACGAGATCCAGCTTGCTGATGCTACGTAAGCTGTTGCCACTGAGATCCAGCTCTGTGTTGTTAGCCTTTATTTTATTATTGCCTGGTATTCTCAAAGATTCAATGGAGTTGTTGCTGAGGTCCACGAAAGACAGAGATGGACCTAGATCTAGAGCAATGGCAGACAGTGCCGCTTGTGTAAGCTGGTTGTCGTTAAGAGACAGACGTGTAAGTCTTTTGTTTGACAGGAATGTATACCTTGGAAGATTTGTCAAACAAGTTCCATCCAAATAAAGCTCCTGGAGGCTTTCTAGCGAGGAAAACCTAGAGAGAGGGTAGGAGTTCATGATGCCACAGTTTGATGTAAGCCAAAGCTTTACTAATTTTTTTAGAGGATTGAATATTGCCTTGTTAGCACGTGTTAGATTATTCAAATCTAAGTGTAGTTCTTGAAGGTTGCGTAAACATTCAAATGCATCGGGCGCCAGCTTTGAAAGCTGACAGTTTTTTAATTCCAGAACTTGTAACCTTTTAAATCTAAATCTACAAAATACGTTGTTCGATATATTTTGTAGCGGATTTTGTGAAAGTACCAGATGATTGACGTCTTCTGGAATTTCCGGTAGTGACGTCAGATTAAGACCACTGCAGTCTACAAAAAGGGTTCCTCCGTTTTGGACCTTTTCTTTGCAAACGCCCGAACGCTTACACTGCCCTCTGTTACTGACGTATAAAACCACCAGGTAAGCAATGATCAGTTGAGGAAGACGAAGCATCCTGTAAAATGTGAGAATTGAGAAATACAACAATAATGCGACTGCTCTTCAACAACTTGTGCTTTAACCATACATTCAAATTTTGTTTCTAGTTTTCTTAACAGTCCATTTTGAAAATAATACATGTAGGCCTATCATTTGAAGTAGGCCTATAATACGCACTCACAAAGAGAGAGAAAGTAGCATGATGTACTCAACCAGTTGCTTGTTATGTGCTCGTGCTCTAAAACAGTATAGCCATGTCCTAATCGCAACTTTAAAGATCGATGTTATACATATACAGTGTACGTACTTGGATCACAAACTTTGCGCAGCCCAAGTTTTCCTTTGTAGAATGGACAAACGAATAAAACGACAGAAAGTACGAATGAGACTCCTAATCTTTAAACGTTGCACTGCAGAATGAGAATGTGAAACAAGGAAGCCAAAGGTGTGCGCTGAGTAAGGTATTTATACATTTCAATCAATATTTGCACGCATCCTATGGTAAAGAACTTATCTTTTCTTCCGCGTTTTTTCAGGTCACTCTGATTTTAGTTCTTACATAGCAACGCAAAAGTCTGTTATATTAAGTTGAGTAAGAGGTTTTTTAGCATACCTAGTGTCGTTGTTATCTTCTCAGTCTCCCCAGTGCGTCAAACTCGTTTTAGGGCAAAGTGGTGAAAATATTAGGGGTAAAATACAGACCGCCGCTGTTTAACGCACGGCTTGGTCCCTAGAACTTCGATCCTCACTGAATAAAGGATTTAATCAACGGTTTCAGGTCTTCATTCTAACTCATTTTTAAAAAATATTTAAGCCCTATCATTATTTTATTGTATGTTTATTTTATGTTTGTACAGTATATATTGACCGTGCTTTAAACTACATGCAACATTTGATTATTTTCAGAGCTCGTGAAGGAAATGTCACCTAACTGGTTGACAAGCAGATAAAAAGCGGATAAAGTTTACCATTTTTTACTGCTCTGTCGACGGGAAAAATACATGGTTGCCTGTACAGGAGGGTACGAGTTTAGGAAATGAGAGGTAAAAAATTGAGAATTCCCGCATCACGGTGGATGCACAAGCATTCATTTTACAGTTTTTGGATTGTTTGTGTCCATGCGTTAACACTTAGCGCAGCCAGTACATATCAGAACACGTGTATAACAGTGCATGTATACATGCTGTTAAAAGACAACTGCAGCTGTCACTTTCACTCAAAAAAAAAAAAAAAAAAAAAAAAACTATACAGGAAGGACGGTAAAGATTATGATGATTCCCCATCATTAAACGCACCAAAGCTGAGGAAGACGGATCGAGCCAAGCTGATATCTAATAGAAAGTATTCTCAACGGGATTTCCCAGCCAAAATATATATTTTTACTTTTTCTCCACTCATCTGAAAATCTCCCACAGTCACAAATATGTCCTGTAAGGCGTCTTATATTTCCCAATTCAAAGTTTAAAGACAATTAACCCCCCCCCAAAAAAAAAAAAAAAAAAAATTACCTGTAGCATACCTAGTGTCGTTGTTATCTTCTCAGTCTCCTCAGTGCGTCAAACTCGTTTTAGGGCAAAGTGGTGAAAATATTAGGGGGAAAATACAGAACGCCGCTGTTAAACGCACGGCTTGGTCCCTAGAACTTCGATCCTCGCTGAATCTGTAGTTCCCAATGGTGTATTCATGGTCCTCTCCCCTTTATTACGGATGGCATCATAATGTGGAGTTCATGGTCTTCTCACCTAAACTACATATTAACACTATACTAGCACAGTCCATTGTCCTTTTCCCGATAATACACGACATCATACTGGTCCTTTCCTCTAAATAGCATTCATCATACAGATACATAGTGACAAAGGGTATAGGCACATTTGCTGAAAAATTCAGTGTACAACATGTAGAAGTAAATTTTTGGGATATAAAAACATACGCATTCAAAGCTGTTAGCTAAAAAGATTTAAATCTTTGTTCCAATTTTGTTTTTGTGAATATACAGCGAGAATAAATGAATCGTCGCTTTTTCTCACATTATTGTCTATATTTTTACTCAATTTGAAATCTTTCGGGTGTTCTTCAACAATACCAGAGTTTTAATTGATTTGTATCAGGAAAAGAATGAGCGTGAACATCACTGATATTTTTACCCGGTCCATTTCAAATCAGCATCGTGCTGACAATGGAAAAAATTTCAATTTTCATTCATGTTCTTTTCATGTTACTCAGGTAAAACTTATAATTCTAGTGTTTCAAAAGACGTACACGAAAAGGCAAGAAGCAAAAGCGGAACAGAAAATGTTAACCAATAAAAATAAAATGTATTAAATAAATAAAGAGAAAAAATGTTCAGTGTAAGAATTGTCGTCTATTTCTTTCGGGGTTTCTTCTTTTTGGGCTTCAGTTTAGCATCGGCCAATTCCTGACCTTGTCTTTTAATGTCGTCTCGCGTCAGAACGTCCGTGTCATCAGTGTGGCTATCGTAGTGGAAGTCTGGAATTAATTAAGATAATGATAGCATGATTATGTTTTGGCGTGTATATTAGTTATGCTGTATCAAATTAATTTATTTGTCAACTCTTGGGTTCAGAGTAAACAGATGATAAATTAAGCAGTTCAAATGATTATAACACACTTGTAGGCTCCATTCCCTGCAAAAAAGGTCACATACATATATAAATAAAGAAATTGCATTCTTTTTTCGATTCGTCACATTCGTCAAATTGGTAATTGACATACTGTGTGCACGATGTTTGTCAAGTGGAGCCTAAAGGCACACATTGTTTTAACATTAAATCAAACCCTTATGAAGACAAACAATTTAAAATATCTACACAAGAAACCATACCCAAAACCACTGTGCAATTACAATATCTAAAACTTTGTGCGTGAACTTATTTTCTCATCTTGTAGTTACCCTCATAAATGACCAGAAACAATCGTGATAATCAGAATACTTAACTCTACTTTTCAAATTAGTGGGGTAACTTTTAGTGTCAGTGAGTTGGCCTACCTGTGAGAGATCCCAGGCTTTCAGCGAGGTGGATCCTCACATTGGTGGAAGGAAGCCGGGACTCCAGGAACTCGTGGTACTGTAAGGAGAGTTAGAGGTGAACGGAAAGATATCATACACTGAAACCCATCATTTCATTTTGTTTTTCAAAACTTTCAAGTATCACGCTCACTTTCTGAAATGGCAGTGGGGTTGTGCAATGTTTTTTCTTATTCCATACATATTCTGTTTAGGTGGGGCATTTTTTGTTAAATAGTGACACCGCACAATGGGTTCTAACCATGCGAACGACTTTATTAAAAAATTGTATCAAAATGTTCAATATAATGTGGATAAATAGCATGCTTACGCAGCAAAAACGATCTAGTGCCTACTGCTTTAAACAGCTTATTGTAATAATTAATAAACAGATAAATAAGGCTATTACATCTCTGAATTGATCCCAATTTAATATTGTTCATAAACAGCAAAACCGAAATCCTATTACGATGGGTTGAATCATACATGAATCCCAATATAGATTATAGCGATAGCGACTTCAATTACTAGGGCGATTCATAACATCTACATTTACTTTTTTGCCCTGCACTTTAATTAAAGCAGCTAGATATATACGCGTCAGTACCAGATATAACATAAAACAATATATAGCATAAGTGCGCACCGAAAATAACAGAAAACAGTAAATGCTTTTTATCTTGAAGAACACTTTATAACTCGAAGATCTATGCAGCTGTAAAACACGTCGATACATTACCTCAGGTGCCGATATATTTTCCTCGGCGTCCTCTATCTGTTTGACGTCAACAGATTCCAACAACGCGGACAGCTTTGCCTTGCACAGTTCTAAATCGTGCTTTAAGTTACCGGTACGGGGAAGATTGTGTGGCTGAAATGGAGATGAAATTGTGACACTCGTTTACTTGTGATCCTTTTCACAGTTGCTCAGATTAATGAAAAGTTAACACGTTTTCTTTGCAGACCATTTTCAAAAAATAAAAAAAAGGTACATTTAAAGCTAACAAATTTTTGTAGCGCGAACATTTTACTTCGCAATTATTTAACGCTAGTATAGTGGCGCCCATGGTTGCTCACTGGTTCAAAAGAAATGAGAAGTTAAACTGATTGATAAAAAACAAAGAGATCAAAGAACGGCTGCAAAGAGTCATGTTACGTACCGGCTTTAGTGTGATACCATGCAGCTTCTTGAGAAGGTTGTCAGTGGCGACGGACAGGGTCTGGTAGAGTTTCTTCCCATGAAGAACTTTCTTCTCTGTTCTCCAATGCTGATCCCAAAGCTTCCTCAGCTGGTCCTGCTTCTCCTCCAGCTTCCGTTCACCACTACATGCGCGGAAAAACGTAATGATATTACGAAAACGAGGTACACTGATTAAATGTGATAGTAAAAACGTTTGTTTTAGCAAAACCAAGCAAACTTCCCTATCTTCTAGCTAACACCACACCCTGCCCCCCTCCACACACACACACACACACACACACACACATACACACACACACACACTCTCTCTCTCTCTCCCTCTCTCTCTCGTATATAAAGATAAACACTGCTGAACGTTTGAAAGAACAAACACGCACTCTTGCAGTACGCTCTTTTCCTCTCCATAATATCTTTCGTTACTCTTTTCAAATGACCAACCATATTTAAAAAGACATTCCAAAAGAGATATCGCTGACTTACTCCGACAAAGCTTTTTCTCCCGTGTATCGGAGGTCGTGGTAGATCTGCAGCATTCGCTCCTTTTCCCTTAGCAGCTGGTTCCTCTTTCCCTCCAGCTGCTGGCGTTTTTGTTCTAACTGCTGCCGTTTCTCGTCCTGCATCTCCACGCGTATGACCACATCCTAGGGCAAGGCAAAAACGTCAACATACGAGAGATTAGCCATTATAATGGTAATAGATTAATTTTCTAGACTAAAGGATTTTACGTGATGGGATGAACTCCGGTGTGTGCTTGTGATGCTCTTGGCCTATAGCGTCAATCTCCCAGAAAAAATCTGACACATATACAAATGAAATATTGAAGAGGGTGAGTACAAGGTATCATATATTTCATATTACTGTTGACTGAAGAACTCACACATGGTTATGAACACACAGCAAAAGAAAATATACAGATGAATGGATGGTACAAAAAAAATTGTAGATCAATCATAGTATTCAAAAACCGTCCCTCTGATATTACCGTCTCTCATTAATTTTTTTTTTATTTCATGTCTGACTCTATATGGCGTTAAATGGTTCCTCTCACATTAATTTTTCCACGAAAGAATATTAGTATCCTACAAGGTACGTTTGAGAATGGGCATGTTTGACCCCAGTGTTGATGGCAATCTTAGAGTACATGAATTCCACGGAGTTTTGTAAACATTCTGAGAAATCGGGTCAATGGTGAGGGTAATATTTTTTCTTGTTAATGCCTTTACTTACGGATATGTCAGAGACCAGCGTCGCTTCTTTTATTCTGTCAAATGCCTCTTCGTACGTCAAAATCTTGGTCTGGTTCTGCCGCTGTCGCTGCTGTTCTGCCTGTGCTTTTTGATCTGGAACAGAAAACAAGTGTAGTCCTGTAATGAATATGATAACGCTCCGTTTCCACGTTTATTTATCAGTTACTTATTACCTTATTTTTTATCTTTATGACTGTTTGTGGTTCCAGAATAGGCATCGCTTATTTTGCGGGCTCGCTTTCTTTGTTCATTCTTTTATAATGGGCCCTCACCTTGATGGGATTCGCCATATAGAGTATGCCTCGCACCCTGCAACGATAAATGAATTTTTTACCATTAAGTTTACCATTTCCTCATATTTTTCTCAACATTTTCCCCATATCAATACTTTCTTCATTAATTTGTGAACTATTTTTTGACTAAATATTTCAAGATACGTTATTTACGCCATCCAAATCTACCCGTACAACATTCCTCCATACAGCCTCGTATTGACCTAGTACTTCACCTTCTTTTCCATCTTGTCCACCGATTCCTTCCTCCGCTCAACCTCCTTCCGAGT